ACCTTTTATTCATATATAGCTTGTTAGAGAATTTTAATTTCTCTAATTGGTGAAAAATAAATCAGAAGCTCTTACAGTTGACTGCATTTAGCTGATTCAAATAACTTTATATTTATATAAAAATATTTATAAAGAATACCATTCTTCTTTACAGCAACATAGCTTAACGAAGACTGTTTACAGAGACAGACCAGAGACAAAAACCTTGAGACTGGAAATCCAGCTCCTAACTCAATACTAATTTTTGGACAGACTCAGTAGCACTTTCTTCCCATTGGCTGACTGAGTTACCACATGACTCTTCCTGTTCATGAATATTCCAACACTCCTCCCTTCATGACAGGAAGAGACATCAGACCTATTAACTTAATACATTCTTTAATCATGAAAAACCTTGTGCCACCAACCTGGCCTTATACTGTATATCATTATTTCGCAATACCTTTTTCTTATATACCCACTTACAACCCACAGCTTTGGTTCCCTGTGGCAAAGTCACTGATTTAAATACTTCATGGTCTCCCATGGATTTCATCTCTTTATCCATGGCCTCCTTCCATTTTTCTTGTTCAGCCTTTGGTAATGCCAACACCTCTTTATAACTTCTGGGCTCATACCACACATTGCAAACCTTTACTTTGCTGGCAGAATACCTGTCAGGTGGAATTCCTTTATTACATCGCTCTGACCTATGTGGTATTAACTGCTCTTGTGTCTCAAGTCTTTCTGGTTTCATGTTTTGTTCAGCCTCTCCTCCCTGAACATTGACATCTTCTATAATCATTTTTCCATCATTAGATGAGTTATTGTCACTAAACAGATCACCGTCATTAAGTGAGACATACCCAGAATTTGCATTAATTCTGTCCCAATTTTGTTCTGCAAAATTAGCAGACCTTGAAATTATAATTCTTTTACTTCCATCGCTAAAGCGATATCCTTTTGACCCTGGCTCATAGCCCACAAAGAGCTTTCTTGCCTTTTGCTGTCCCTTTCTTCTGATTGCTTTTGGAATATGTACCCATGCAGTACTTCCAAAAATTCTCAAATGTGCCAGTGATGGCTTTCTCCCATATAGAATGGCATATGGAGTATTATTAATGGAGGAACTCCACAGCCTGTTAACTATATAATTGGCAGTCAATATGGCTTCTCCCCAATATGACCTGCTCAAACCAGAATCCTCTAATAATGAATCTTTCATTGTTTGCAAAACACCATTCCTTCTTTCAGCTACACCGTTCTCTGCTGCTGTGTAAGGATTTGTATGTCTGTGTCTTATCCCCAACTGCCCCAACCATTGTTGGAATTTAGTTGACATAAATTCAGTACCTTCTCTCTACAAAACTTACCCACTGTTTGAATTGTTGTAGCACCTCTGTCTTTGCTCTAAGCAAATAGCAAAATGAATACCTGCTATAATCATCAACAATTACCAGTGCATATTTTGCTCCTCCCAAACTGGCTTGCATAGGTCCCACCAGATCTGCATGGACCAGCTCTAGAACTCTTTTTGTTTGTCTTGTGCTACATTTACTAACTGGGAATGCCTTTGACTTCGATGCTTTGCATACTGCACAGTCCAAATATGTTTTGCATCCCTTCAAATTTAGCCCTTCTGCAAAATCTTGCATTTGCTGCAAAACTTTAAAGCTTGCATGGCCAAGTCTTCTATGCAGAAGATGAACACATGAATCATGCTCTGCAACATTCTTAAATATATGGAACATTGAACTTTATGTCCCTGCAATACGTATAGATTATCTTCCTTTATGCCTTCTGCACAAATATTCCCATTCCTTTTGATGAGACATTTCCCATTTACAAAAATGACCTCAAAACCTTGTTTGTCTAAATTAGACACACTTAACAAATTATGTTCCATCTCAGGTACACAAAGCGCATTGGTAAACTTTGATTCCAAATATGGAATTTTTACATCGCCTCTTCCGATGTCTTTTGTTTTCTGGCCATTTGCCAAAGCCACAGCTTCTTGTGCTACTGGAACAAACCTGCAAAATAATTCAGAGTCATTAACAATTGTTTGACTTGCCCCACTATTAATTAGCCACTTGTCTCTGTTGTTGCTATTGCAAACTTTTGCAACACCAAAATGTTCCTTTTGCAAATTAGTCTTCTTTTCATGCACAAATGTCCTTTGCTGCAAACAGTTCCTTTGCAAACAGTTCCTTTGCAAATGTGTGCTCGCTCCACAAATATAGCAATTCTTTTCTTGCAAAGCTCTCTGCTTGCAAAATCTCTCTTTTGTTGCAATTTGGTCCGGGTCCGATCTGCTTGTTTCTTCTCTGGAGACTTGCAGTCTAGACTCCCTCCTCAGGAATTTCTTCTCCTCATGGCTGCTTCTAAAATGGCACTTTATTTCTTCATTAAGCAAACATGCCTTTAAAGCCTCAAAATTTAAGTCTTGCTCTTCTTTACACTCAAATATTGTAGAAACTGTGTCCCAGGTTTTATCTAAACTGTTTAACACCAATAAAACCTTCTGAGACTCAGGGAATTTAATCCCACGTTGTTCTAAATCCAAAAATAAACTTTGGATTTTATTTAAATGCTGTTCCACAGATTCACCTGGTTGCAAACAGGCTCTGTAAAGTTTTCTTGACAATTGCACTATGTTGCAAGCAGAAACATTCACGTGCACAGCTCTCAATTTCAACCATATCTCCTTTGCAGTCTTTAAATTTGCAACATTTAGAAATTGTTCATCATCTAAAGTCAAGATGAGATAAGCCATTGCTTGATCATGGCTTTTCTGATCTGCAGCTGCAAATACTTGTGGTGGATTTTCAACAATATACCACAGCTCTTTTGCTTTCAGCAAACATTCCATTTTTGCAGCCCACACAATGTAATTCTTCTGGCCCAAACGAGGCACACAGCTTTCTTTAAATTCCATTGCAGCCATTCTGCTAATTCTGCCTTGTTCTTATACTTTCTAAACACAGGCAATTTCTTCCAGCTTTAAATTACAATGCAGTCCTTAGTAAGCTCTGGGCCCATAACCTGTTAGAGAATTTTAATTTCTCTAATTGGTGAAAAATAAATCAGAAGCTCTCACAGTTGATTGCATTTAGCTGATTCAAATAACTTTATATTTATATAAAAATATTTACAATACCATTCTTCTTTACAGCAACATAGCTTAACGAAGACTTCTTACAGAGACAGACCAGAGACAAAAACCTTGAGACTGGAAATCCAGCTCCTAACTCAATATTAATTTTTGCACAGACTCAGTAGCACTTTCTTCCCATTGGCTGACTGAGTTACCACATGACTCTTCCTGTTCATGAATATTCCAGCATAGCTCCTTTAACTTAATTGGTAGTTAGAAATGAACATCTCATGCCCACATAAATTTTAATTGCTGCTGTTTTATTTTCAAGCCTTAAATAGAATAGCTTGTACATAATTCTTGAAAATATAAGTGCATAATTGTTAGCCAGATATATGCATGTAGAGAACAGTGATACCTATTTGCTTTATCCGAATTTATATCATTTATTAATTGTTTTAAAATGCAAAAAGTTCAACAGTAAAATAATAACAGCTTGGTATAAAATACATGTAACTATCAAATAATATCTGCAAATAGCAAAGCTCACCAGATGTTGGGTAATTAAAAATGTAATGAATGGATAGCAAATCTCAGTATATCATTATTGTACGGATTCCATGAGTTAGTTTTTCAGACAGAGCCAATTTGTCTTACTGTCTTGTTTTTCCATGAAACGTTAATATATGGCTGCAATTTTCATTCAGGATACTTCTAAACCAAGAACATATTGCTGTATATTGATATTCTCACCCCAGAATAGGTAATAAGAATGAAAACCTTCCCATTTAAGATTTTAATAGGAGTTCTGTATTGATCTTTTGTTAGTGTCTTCTCCTAGCACATTTCTTTCTTTCTTTTTATTAAAATCCAATTACTTTGAATACTTGATAGGTATATTAAGTTCATAATTAAGCTAGTTTCTTTCTGCTTTCTCCAAGAAATAAAACACTTTCGTGTAAAACCTTTCACCTTTAGCAGACTTTTAGAAGTTCTATTGTTTGGAAACATGGATTAAGACATTCATAATTAAATAGCCTATTTATATCTGTTTTGCCTGTGCTTCTTGATTTTCAATTTAAAATTTCATATAATTATGGAATGAAGATAAGGTAACACATTTTTATTATATTCAAGATTAAAGCTGCTTATAAGTCTGGATGTATGCATGAGAAAATCATAAATTTAATAGTTTGAAATGTGGCAGCCTCTAGACCACTTTTTCAAGGAAAATGACAAGCCCCTAGATAACCAGGAAGCTTTGTTAGTTATACAATTGAAAATATCATGGCACATCAGGGATGTACACTAGACTGGAAAGTTAAAAGTTATGCCAGAAGAAGGTGGTGTGAGATCACTTCTGTACCATCAGCATGAAACTTCACTATGACCACATAATCTCCCAAGAACTGATTGTGACTAAAGGGCATCTTTACCATAACATGATAGCAGAGATAATTTTTACCTAAAATCTGAATTTCCAGATGGATCACAAATGAAACAGCATTTTATATTGCAGAGAACAATTTATATCATCACACAAATAAACATTATTTTTCATGTACTATACAAAGTCATGAAGTAGTTAAATATTATTATATATATATTTGTGAAACATGTGAAGTTCTCAGAAGATTTAGGTATAAATCAGTTCAAAAGTACAAACAATGTAGTGATTAATAAAATATATTTTAATTTTTTTCTTTCTAAATAAGAGTACTTTGTTTGAAGCCATGAAGTATTGAAGTTAATCTCTTCTCAGAAAATGATCATGATAATGTATAACTTCATGGGGAAAAAAATCTTGTAAAATCATTGGATATGTCTGTAAAATTATCTTGTAAAAAGGAATGTATAAATAATGGTATTTAATTCCACTCTTGATCCCACTACAAATGTATGATCATGTTTTGTTGAATTTCAGGAGAAGCAGAGGTTTCTGACTGATGTCTTACATGAAGTCATGTTACTTGATGGTCTGACAGGTTCACATCCAGTGTCACAAGACGTGCAGCAGGCCACAGATATTGATCGAGTCTTTGACTGGATTGCCTATAAAAAGGTGGGAACAAAAAAAAAAAGACACAAGTTGTATATTTGTGGGATTTTTCTGGCATTTATTTTAATGTTTCTTTACCTTCATGTTCTGCTGTCAATTAATTATTTCCTCTATTAATACCCCATTCTACTTTTATCAGGATGGCAATGAAAGAAATTCCAGACAGAGAGATTACAGAATGTTTCCTCTGAGACTCTTGAAAATAACATCATATTACAAAGCAGTTGAAAATAGTCATAAATACTGAAATGACCTGAATAATATAAATCACTCCAGGTTTAATTAGAGATCCATTTGCTTTTAGTATTCAGATTAATGTGCATTTGTATCTACAGTTAGTTATGAGTGCAACATACTTTGCAGTAATTATAGCTAGTCAAATTAAGAATTGTCATTCCTGACTGAAAGCTCATGCACAATCATTTTAACTTATTGCTTTCTGAGCCCTATGAAAAAATTCATTTCTATCTTAAGGTCAAAAAGTTTCAATTCTTTATAATCTTATGTCTTATTTTAAATCTTTCAACCAGTTAATAAGTATAGTTTTATTTAGGAAAAATATCTCCACTTTGCTTTATCAGAAACCATTCAAAAGCAGCCACACTGCAAAAGTGATAAAACTGGTAGGTGAGTACAAAAACATATTGCAAACTAAATCACACACACACACACTCTAAAATACATTAGCACAAGATTAAATATACCATATATTCAAAAAAGAAACTGGTGGTAGTGGCCCCAGTTTCCTGAGATAAGAATGATGTAAACTCATAAGTTCAACTTTCCTATAAGAGCACCTATACTATCATATAGCCTTCCCTGAGAAAGTTGGCTTTCTATAAACATTTAAAAGCTAAATTATTTTTGAGAGTTTTGGGGAACCTGAGCAGATGTTGTCTTATTGGTAATTACAGGATTTGATTTTGACAATTTACTTTTTTTCCACTATGGATATTTTATTGTCCTTCTTTAGATGTATGTGAACTGCTGGGACACTTGTGTGATTGTACAAATATAATAAATAACAGTATGAATAGTTAAGAAAGAATGGAATGGAATGGAATAGAATAGAGTAGAATAGAATATTGATTAGTCTTGCAACCTTATCAATAATATAAAAGAAAAGTAAAATACATAATATGATTCCAGGATAAAATACAATGATAAAATACATATGTGGTAATATGAAAAGTCAGCAGTCAGATGAGTGAATCTTCTTTGCAGGGTACCCCAGTTTGTTTAGTGTGTCAGATTCTTAGCTTAACTGTCTTAATTAAAAACTTAGCAATTCTGCTTACAGTAGATACATTAGAGCAATCTGTAATTTGATCCCTAGTGGGCTGTTCTTCCCAAGATGGATCATAAGTATCTAACCTTAAAGGGGGCTTATAATTGACGAACAAAACATGAACAATGTTTTCAAGGACTGGGCTACTGCTTATGCAAGTCCTCTCATGATATGGCAAATCATGAAAGCACCAATATTTGGCCATGGAATTCAACAACTCAAATCTTCTGTAGAGTAGGCCTTTCTTAAAAATTGTGTCAAGCTTATTGACAGATATTTTTCAGATTGGAAAATAGTTTTATTTCTAGCCAAACAATTTAAAGGGTTTTTTTTAGCCAATAACTCCATATCAGTTTCAGTGATATCTAGGATGCTCTATTTAAAAAAATATCTTCTCTGGGAGGCCGTTGAGAGTAAATACTGTGTAAAAAAACCCTGTTGTAAAATAACTTTGGATATTAGCTTACCTAGGAATTGGACCGAGCCATACTTACCTGTTCTGTCAAACATCTTTGGGGAAGTCTTTTAGGGTCCATAAAATGGATCTTCTGCTAGTATATGAAAACTTTAATTATTAAATAACTATGCATGGAATACAGTAGATATGTGTTTTTGCTGTGACTTCAGAGGCTGATATTTTTTTATCAGTTCCCAATATGCATCCACTTCTAAACAGCTAAAAGTTGAAACTTGTTCAATAGGCTCCCATTTATCTGCCAGTTATATTTCACACTTTTTCTGCTAAATACCATCACTTTAGGTTTGGTTTTATTGATGTTAAAAAATTAAGAGCACAGGACTTCCGGTGGTTGAAGCGGTGGAGATGGCGGCTACTTTGTAGCCGTCCTCCTGAGAAGGTGTCAGATCCGCGGAGCACAGCGTTTACCAGCTGGCCCGCGGCTCGCAATCCCCTTCCCGGGCGAAGGGAAGGGGTAGAGATTGCATGAATAGAGGTAGAACCTCTTAACTCTCCCTGGATTTTTATTTTTAGGGGGAGAAAGAGGTTCCCTCGGAGTTCATTGCTTCTCCGCCTCTCAGCTGTCTTTGTTTCTTCAGAAACAAAGCGAGACGCCGCTACCATCTCCGAATATAAAGAAACCGTGAGTAATCTTAAACCGGACAGAACTGTTTAAAGGATTTTATTTATAGTTTAGTTTTATTTTATTTTTTTTTTCTAGTTTATTTAGTTTATTTAGTTTGTGCTGATTTTTTTTTATTTTTTCGAGCTTTCTTTTTTTTTTGGGCGGAAAAGTGAGAGTGAAAGTAAAATGGCGTTTTGAAACTTTTTTTTTTCTTTAGAAGACGGTTCGGCTGAATTGTTGTTTAATATTGCTTTTTTTTTACTTTATTCTATTTTATTTTATTTTTAATTTTTTCTTGGACTACTTATTTTTATTGGTACTTTTAAGAAGAAAGGAAGATAAATTAAAATGGCTTCAAAACGACAACCAGCTACTGCAGCCTCTAAAGTAACTTCTTCTCCTGCTACTTCTACTGTGCAGCAACAACTTAAAATAATACCTTCAGTGCAGCAACCTAAATCTACTCCACCTTCACCTCCCCCATCTGGCACATCAGCACAAGACATTAAAGAAATAATGGTAAGTGCTGTTTCACAGTTTAGGGAGGAAATGAAACAACTTTTGGATCAGAATAAATCTGAAACTAAGGAGGAAATGAAGAAAGAGATGAAGGAGCTTTTAGAACAGAATAATGCTATTTTGAGGGATGATATACTTTTAGCTTTATCTGGAATGGCCTCAGTGGTCGTGAAGCTGGACTCCAGAGTAGAGGAAATTGAAGAAACAGTTGAACTTCTGGATTATAAATTTCAAGATATGGAGAAAAAAGTGGAGGCTTCACAAGATGATATTCTTATGTTCCAGTACAGACAGATGGAATATGCTCTGAGAATAAGGGGTCTGAAAGAAGATAAAACTCAAGATTTGATGGAAATGGTGATTAATGACTTGGCTGTTATTTTGAATATTGATAAAGAAGAGTTACGTGGGGATGTGGAAAGAATTTATAGAGTTAATTCTTGGATTGCAAAACAGAGGAATTTGCCTAGAGATGTGGTGATATATTTTGCTAAGAAGTCTTTGCGAAATCAGATTCTACAAACTTTTTATAATAAAAGATTTCAGATTGCTGCTCAAGATATTATTATTTTAAAGGAAATTCCACCTAAAATTTTAAGAACCAGAAAAGATTTTGCTTTTTTAGTAAATGAACTTAAAGCAAGACAAATGCCATTTAGATGGGAGATTCCGATGGGCATTGTTTTGAGCCATGCGGGGACACGTTATAGACTCAATACAGTTGCTAAAGCTAAGGAATTCTATAAAACGGTCCTGGGAGCAGGCTCTCCTTTGCCCATGATGCAGAAAGTTTTGAGTGATAAAGAGGTGGAACAGAAATCTGAAGCTACAGGGATGATGACTGCTGGACAGGTGGCATGGATGTCTCAATCAGAGATTAAAGAACAGAGAATGACCCGTGCAGCACATAAACGTAAAGAAAAAGAACAACAGAAAAAAGAAAAGGAAAAAGAAATTGGAGAATCTACTCAGCAAATTGTTTCAGTGCCGGTGGGAGGAGCAAGATCCAAAAGCTCTGCTACATATTCATCAGCAGCAGAATTTGAGCGGATTTTCTCCAGGCTGAAGGCCAAGGGAGATGGCAAAGCTCCTGTCCTGGAATATTAATGGATTAAACACTCCTCAAAAGAGAAAAAAAATTTACCACTATTTGAAACAACATAACAATGACATCATTTGCTTGCAAGAAACTCATATTACAGCTAAAGACCAAAATATTTAAATAATCCTCGCTTGGGATCTCATTTTGTATCTCCCGCCCCTGGGAAGAAAGGGGGTGTGGTAATCTACGTTAAACAGAATTTATCTGCTACCCTGTTAGAATCAGATCCTTACGGAAGATATGTTATGCTTGAACTTGGTTTATATGGTAAGAAAATCCTTATTGTGGGGTTGTATGCACCAAACCAGCAACAGGAGCAATTTTACAGGTTACTACATCAGAAAATAACTTTGTTGGATTATAGATCTGTGATTTTAATGGGAGACTGGAATGGTGTTTTAGACACACAAATGGATAAAAAAGGCTCTTCTACCTTTTTTAAACAGGCTAAACTACCTAAAGCCTTTTTCGATATGAAAGAAGATTGGGAATTGAGAGACTATTGGCGTGAACGTAATCAAGAAGAAAAGGATTTTACGTTTTTCTCAGATAGACATCAATCTTTTTCAAGAATTGATTTCTTTTTGATTACAACAGATTTATACAACAGGGTAAAGAATGTAAAAATTTTTCCTAGGACACTGTCCGATCATAGTCCAGTTTGGATGGAACTGTTTGCAGAGAAGGAAGACAGGAGATCCTGGAGGGTGAATGAGAACTTATTTAAAAAAGAAAAAAATGTTCACAAATTAAAGGAATGTTTAAAGGAATATTTTACTTTAAATATGAATAAGGGAACATCAATGTCAATGGTGTGGGATGCAAGTAAGGCTTTCATGCGTGGTATTTTGATAAAAATGAATAATTTGCATAGACAGGAACAGACTCAGAAACGGAAAGACTTGGAAGAGGAGATTAAATTAAAAGAGAAATCTTTAATTTCAAATCCCTCAGATGAAAAGGTTAAAGGAGCTTTAAAATTGTTAAAAACACAATTTAATATGCTGATGGC